TACTACTACTACGACTACTACGAGTACTACTACTACGACTACTACTACTGCTACTACTACAACTACTATTACTACTACGGCTACGGCTACGAGTACTGCTACTACTACTACTACCACCACCACCACCACCACCACACCTACTACTACTACTACTACTACTACACTACGACTACGACTACGACTACGACTACGACTACGACTACGACTACGACTACTACTACTACACTACTACTACTACTACTACTACTACTACTGCTACTACTACTACTACTACTACTACTACTACTACTACTACTACTACTACTACTACTACTACTACGTCTCAATGGAAACTGGCTGGACCACCTTAGGCGAGGGCATCTCTGAGCCCAAAATAGCGATGATGTTTCCAGCCACGGAGCCAGAGAGACCAAGAGGAGGAGAGGAGAGGGAGGAGAGGAAGGAAGACAACGGAAGAATCGTCGTTTTGATATTTTGTTTTGTAGTTTCGGCCCGCTTCCGCCGTCAAATTTCACCTCCTGCTTCCGCAAGTCCGTTTAACTTCCGCCTGTTCCGCAGCGACCTTCGGAATGTTTCCGCCGCAATGTGTCTGCTCCCGCCCGCCTCCATACGCGGTATTTGCACGGCGTGGCACTGCTATGAATCGTACGATATGGCATTGCGCTGGTACGTGGCAATGGTACGACCTCCCTATGGCAATGTGTTGGGCATGGCAATTATGGCATAGGCGCGGGGCCACTGGGGCAGGGCGCCACCGAGGACCATATGAGACCGCGGAAATTTCAGCATCTGCGGCCGACTCCCAGAACAAGGCCACTGGGGTTGGAGACCGTGGGAGGCCACTGGGTCCCATTCGAAGCAAAATCATGCGTGGCCGTGCATGCGCAATTCTACATACATGCGATGTGTTTGCATAATTCCACCTTTTGCACAACGAGTTGCCATTTGGGCCCCGACCCCGCCAAAAAAACAAATTGGCGCGCCCCGGGAAAAAACAAAGGGGCTCAAGGTCCGAGGAAGGAAAACCTACATCCTCGGCGATGGGGTTCCGCAACCCAAGGTTCCGGAGCCGTTTCGGAATCGTTTCGACAACCCTTTCGAAACCGTTTCGGAAACCATGTCGGAAGCCAGTTCGGAGCTGTTTTGGAAGCCATTCAAGAGCAATTTCGGCAACAATTTCGGAAGCCGTTTCGGAAGCCGTGTCGGAAGCCGTTTCGGAGCCGTTTCGGAAGCCGTTTCGGAAGCCATTTCGGAAACCGTTTCGGAAGCCGTTTCGGAGCCGGTCCGTAATCCTTTTCGGAACTGCTTCGGAAGACATTTCGGAAGCCGTTCCGGAAACCGTTTCGGAAACCGTGTCGGAAATTGTTTCGGAAACCGTGTCGGAAACTGTTTCGGAAACTGTGTCGGAAACCATGCGGGAAGCTGTTTCGGAAACTGTGTCGGAAACCGTTTCAGAACTGTTTCGGAAACCGTTTCGAAGGACGTGTCGGAAGCCGTGTCGGAAGCCGTTTCGGAGGTCGTCTCGGAGGCAATTTCAAAGGCCTTTTGGAGGTTGCGTCGGAGGCCGTTTCGGAGCCTTTTTGGGAAGACGGTTCGGAGCCTTCGGGAAGGCCGTTTCGGAGCCTTTCGGGAGGCCGTTTCGGAGCCTTTTGGGAGGCCGTTTCGGATGTCGTTTCGGATTCCGTTTCGGAGGTCGTTTCGTATGTCGTTTCGCAGGTCGTTTCGGAGGTCGTTTTTGAAGCCGTTTCGGAGGTCGTTTTTGAAGTCTCTCCTCCCCTCCTCTCCTTTCTCCTCTCCTCTCTCCTCTCCTTTCTCCTCTCCTCCCTCCTCGCCTCTCCTCCCCTCTCTCCTCTCCTCTCTCCTCTCCTCTCCTCTCTCCTCTCTCCTCTCCTCTCCTCTCTCCACTCCTCTCTCCTCTCCTATCTCCTCTCCTCTCTCCTCTCTACTCTCTTCTCGCCTCTCCTCTCTCCACTCCTGTCTCCTCTCCTCTCTCCTCTCCTATCTCCGATCCTCTCCTCTCCTATATCCTATCTTCTCTCCTCTCTCTTCTCCTCTCTCCTCTCCAATGCTCTCCTGTCCCCACTTAAAACCCGGACTTTTAAAAGTCCGGGTTGTTCATTGCAAATTCCCCCCAAACCGGACTTTTGAAAGTCCGGGTTTGGATTTTTTGATTTCCGGGTTCTTCCCCACCTTGCCGTCGAGCTCGTCGAGGACGCCCTTGGCGTCGGCCAGCGCTTTGCACACCTTGTCCATCACCGCCGACACGTCTGCGTCGGATGACGGGCTCACCCCGTCCATCGGATCCAGCTTGAAATCGCATTTCACGAGCTCCGGGAAGGATGGCACGACTGCTCTTGGCCATGCCGAGCAGACGGTGTCGGCTGTCAGGCACGCCGAGAACTCCGGCGTGAGCCGCAGCAGCGATAGGGAGACCCCGTTCATGTCGAGCGAGGTGCACATGAGTGCAGGCCCGACGAGCAGCTTCACAGTCTCGCCCCACTTGGACTTCATCAGTGAGCCTGTGAGGACGCACATCTCCTGCGGGGGAACGTTCCCGAGGCTGTTGATGAGGCAGGCGTAGCCGTCGGGAGCGGGCGCCTGCATTCGCTTGCCACTCATGATCCCCTCCATGAGTATCTCCACCACCTTTTCTGCGGAGCACATGTCCACGACCGACTTTCCTGGCTCGCCGTGGATTCCCAGGCCGACTTCCATCTTCTTGATGCCGATGCTCTCCGGCTTCAGGCGGCGCACCACCGACAAAGAGACGCCCATGCTGGCGGAGGCCTCGATCACTGCCTCGGCGGCCTCCTTCACCTTCTCCAGTGACGCTCCCTGCTCCGCCAGGGCGCCAGCCACCTTGTGAACGAACAGCGTGCCTGCGACCCCGCGCTCCGCCACGGTGGCCACGTCGTCCTTCGTGATCACGATCTCGACCTTCGCTCCACCTGGAAGGAGTCTCTCTGCTCGCTGCGCCGCCAGCGTGAAGTTCAGGCGGTCGCCCGTGTAGTTCTTGATGACGAGGAGGCAACCCTTGGGGCCGGTCACCTGCATGATGGCCGACAAGACCGCGTCGATGGTCGGCGACGCGAAGGTCTCTCCCGAGATCGCCGCGGTGAGCATGCCCCTGCCCACGAAGCCGCCGTGCATGGGCTCGTGGCCTGCACCCCCACCGGATATGATCGCTACCTTGTCCTTGTTCCAGTCAGTTCGGAACACCACCTTGATGTCTGGAAACGCGTCCAGGCGGCCCAGCGAAGGGGTTGCCCATATCAGGCCGTCGACGCAATCCTGCACGACCTTGTCTTCGTCGTTGATGAAGCGCTTCGGATTCGCGGGCCCCCTCTGCTTGCTCTTCGCCGTGGCCTTGGCCTTAGCCTCCGCCTTCGCCTTTGAGGTGCCCGTGCCCTTGCCTTTCTTGCCTTTGCCCTCGGGCCTGAAAGGTTTGCATGTCGAGCTCCAGTAAGACTGGATGTCGGCTGCGCTATACTTGTTTCTGTAATAGCTCTTGAGCTCCTGCAGAGTGTAGCTCCCGCCATCCTCGGGATCTATTCGTTTCTCTGACATCCGAACTTGTACTTACGGGGGTGGAAATTACTCCTTCTAGCCACCAGCCGTCCAGCGCCTCGAGCCCAGGAATGGCTTGAGCCGAAATGGCTACGGTCTTACTTAGGAAACGCACCTGCGGAAGGAACGCGAGCACCCTGCGGGGCAAGTCAACCCCCGAGAGCCTGGTGCTGCAATTGTTTCAGAGCCAGCGTTTTCGCCAGGCTTCGCGCCCGAGGGCTCTCACAGACCGATCCGGCGCGAAGAATGATAGCGATCTGCTGCGATGCCTCAACTTTTGGCGGGGGCCCAGGGGGTTGCAAGCGAATCGGGACAAACTTAAGGATTCGCCACATCCCCACTCTCGCTGGATGTCCCCTGCCTGTCCCCTCCAGTTCCCATACTGTGCCATCATTTTATGGAAAGCATCACCTCGCCATCGCTCGGACGTCCATTTCCCGTGCATGTTTCGGTTTCGTGCGTGTTTTTTTAGATCGATGGTCCAGGATCGTCCTCAATGGTTCTCGCCGAGAACAAATGCACACGTCCGAGCGATGCCAGGACACTTGCACGCGTTTGTGAGTGCCCCTCCAGGAGACGGATGGACGAGCAGCCCCGCTCGGGCGCTGCTTGCTTCGGCGCTGGGCACCAAGGGGGGAGGCAGAGGGAGCCGGCCTTCTCAAAACGCAGCGGCGCGGTTTCTGAGAAGCCACTCGCCTTTTGCAAAGCACCTGTCTGAGCCTTATTCGAAGACACCGACGACTTCTCCGACGGCCGGAAAGCGTCTGAGAAGGCGCGCAACCCTCTGAGAAGGCCTGCCCCCTCCCACTCACCCCTGGGGGCCGCCGCCGATTCGTGGGGGGGATAAACGAAAACTAGCCAACCATGTTTTTCCCAAGCGCTGGAACTAAGCGCTGTCTTTCCCGACCATCCTGTGGTGTTGGGTCCTCGTTTTGAAGAGAAGGTGCCCCGCGTATCCTTCTCCTCCCGCTGCCCCCTCCATCCTCCCCCCTCCCCCTCCTTGCCTCTGCTCTCAGCACCCCCCTCACACGCTTCGCAGCCCCATAGGGAGCTCAACCGAAGGTCCCAGAGGCACAGCCCGCATGCGGCTCCCCCACCCAGGGCAATGCTTCGTAGCCCCACAGGGAGCTCCACCGAAGGACCCAGTGGCACAGCCCGCATGCGGTTCCCCCACCCAGGGCAGCGTTTCGTGGCCCCATAGGGAGCTCAACCGAAGGTCCCAGTGGCACAGCCTGCATGCGGTTCCCCCACACCCAGGGCAGCGCTTCGTGGCCCCATAGGGAGCTCCACCGAAGGTCCCAGTGGCACAGCCCGCATGCGGTTCCCTCACCCAGGGCAGCGCTTCGTGGCCCCATAGGGAGCTCCACCGAAGGTCCCAGTGGCACAGCCCGCATGCGGTTCCCCCGCCCAGGGCAGCGTTTCGTGGCCCCATAGGGAGCTCCACCGAAGGTCCCAGTGGCACAGCCCGCATGCGGTTCCCCCGCCCAGGGCAGCGTTTCGTACCCCCATAGGGAGCTCCACCGAAGGTCCCAATAGCACAGCCCGCATGGCAGCGTTCCGTGGCCCCATAGGGAGCTCCCCCGAAGGTCCCAGTGGCACAGCCCGCATGCGGTTCCCCCACCCAGGGCAGCGTTTCGTAGCCCCATAGGGAGCTCAACCGAAGGTCCCAGTGGCACAGCCCGCATGCGGTTCCCTCACACAGGGCAGCGCTTCGTGGCCCCATAGGGGGCTCCACCGAAGGCCCCAGTGGCGCAGTTCGCATGCGCGCCCCCCCCCCACCCAGGGCAGCGTTTCGTGGCCCCATCGGTAGCTCCCCCGAAGGTTCCAGTGGCGCAGTTCGCATGCGTCCCCCCCACCCAGGGCAGCGTTTCGTGGCCCCATAGGGAGCTCCACCGAAGGTCCCAGTGGCGCAGTTCGCATGCGTCCCCCCCACCCAGTACAGCGCTTCGTGGCCCATAGGGAGCTCCACCGAAGGTCCCAGTGGCGCAGTTCGCATGCGTCCCCCCCACCCAGTACAGCGCTTCGTGGCCCCGTACGGGGCTCCCCCGAATGCGATACCCACAACTGCATATGGTTGGGTCTTTCGCCAGGTTAATTTTTCGTCGAAAATCTCCCTGTAGGGGGACACGCCAGACATAACGTTGGGATCACGACAGGGAAGCGGTGGGGGGTTGGCGTGGAGGACGGTGCGCCTCTCGCGCAGCATCGGAGCCCTACATGGGCACAAGAAGGTGCACCTCTCCTCGTCAGGGCTGGTCCTCGTTTTGAAGAGACGGTCCCCCTCCCTGGCGCGCGGAGCGCGCCAGGGGCGGCGCCGGAGGCGCCGCCGGGGGGGGCCCAGCGCCGATCCGGGAAATCCGTGCGGACCTCCGAGTTGTTATGTTTCTGTCACTTTGCATTCCCCTAAAAAAGCAAGTAGGAACATCATGAGACACCAACAGCACACACCCATACCCATAGGGGGGTCGGAGAGGGCTATGGGTGCGTGTTGTCGGATGGGGGTCCCCGTTCGAGCGGGAGCGTTCCCCAGGGTCCGACAACCCGCACCCATACCCATAGCCAGTCCTCCTCCCAACGGCCCCCCGATGGGTATGGGTGTGTGTTGTTCGTTCGTCACATCAGAAGCATCGGCCTGCCACCGGCGACACGGCCGTGGATTGGCGATGGGCCTCCGAGAGCGAGACCGCACGGACCCGGGAGGGGCGGGCTCTCGGGCCCCTCTCGGCGACCAGTGGGCGACTGCGGACCGAGGCGCCCCCCCCCCCTCGGCCCTCCTGAGCCCATCCCCCCCAAACGCTTCCCCTGCTTTCCTCCCCCTCCCCCTCTCCTTCTCCTCCTCCTCCTCCGCCTCCTCCTCCTCCTCTTCCTTCCCCTGCCACGCCCCCTCCCTCCTCCTCCTCCTCCTCCTCCTCCTCCTCCTCCTCCTCCTCCTCTCCTCCTCCTCCTCCTCCTCCTCCTCCTCCTCCTCCTCCTCCTCCTCCTCCGCCGCCTCCGCCTCCTCCTCCTCCTCCTCCTCCTCCTCCTCTTCCTCCTCCTCCTCCTCCCCCCCCGCCTTCCCATGCCACGCCCCCTCCCCCTCCTCTTCCCGCGCCCGCCGCTGCCTCGGCAGACCCCCTTGCCCAAGCGTGCCGCCTCCCGGCCCGCTGCGCCAGATGCGCGCCACGCCCCTCTTGCCAGTAACCTAAGCGATGGGCCCCCTCGAGAGCTCGATCCCAAGTGGAGGCCCTGGACTCGACCACGAGGAATACAGTCGGGGTCTTGACCTAAGGAACCCAAAATATGGAACGAGGCCCCTTTGCTCCATAAATTAAACTTCGATTTCCTGTCAAAAACATAAGGAAAACCTGAGGCAAGCTGTGAAACGGAACGCGGAGCCCCTCTCCAACCAAAAGGGTTCCATCTTCAGGGCCCCGACTGTAGATTGAGGAGGCCCGGGGAGACCTCCGAAGACAGCAGCCTTGACGCCGGGAGGAACATGGCTGATCAGAGGCACTGCAGAGAGCCCTCAACGACGAAGACGCTCATCTCCAGAGTACTTTCCACCACTGGCATCCCCAAACATAAAAGCTGGATCATCGATCTGGCCGACGCCGAGCACGTGCTCGCTGTCCGAGTCGCTGGAGTTCGAAACTACCTGCCAGGCCTCCTCCAGCGCTGCCCCAGGCACCTGAGTCCAAGAACAAGGGATGAGACCTCGAAGCCAGAAACACGGTTCGGAGACTTGTTCCAGTTGGTTCCTGGGGAGGAGGTACTGGGTATCTTCGAAGATTTTGTGGCCGCTGTTTTCGAACACAACCAATGAAACCAGGTCGTAGTCGATGGCACCCGTCTCCTCGAAGACTCTAGGCAGACCGACGTGCCACCAACCGCAAAATCAAGCAAAGTCTCGGCGAGCCTGGACGAGGCTAGAAAACCGCAGAGAACCGACGAGAACATCCGAACACCTCAAACCTCGAACCTCGAAATCGTCACCCAACCCACGGTCTCATGCGTTTGTGCATGGCCTCTCTGGGGAACCTCGGACTGACCAGTGCGACCTTCGGAACACACGACTTGGCGGCAACTAGCGGCGTGTAGGGGCCACTAATGGCGTGGGCAACTCTAGCAGCAACAAGCGGTCTGTAGTGGCAAGTAGCTGCAACTTGTGACAGGTTAGCGGCAATTAACAAATAGCTGCTAGCGGCAACCACTGGCAACTCGCGGCCTGTTACAGTCAACCAGTATAGCAAGGATGCGCGATAAGGATGCAAGGGCCTTGGACGCTCATTTCGAAGCTTTTCGAGCGGGGCGCGGCCAGCGACAGCGGCGAAGGATGGACCGAGGAGGCAAGAGTGCAAGGGTACCCTTGGAAAGGTTGCCCAGCCTTACTATGCGGGTTGACTGTAGCGGCAATCGGTTGTCTTCACCGGCAGCTGGGACGCGCGAGCGGGATCGCTGGCCCCCTCGGGGCCACAGGCGCGCGTGGCGCGCGGCCCAGGAGGCTGCACGGCGCTGTCCTTGCCGCCGAGATAGCGGCGGACGGCTCGTCAGAGGTAATATTTCGCAGAGGCACAATGACGCCAGATGCTGCTAAGTGCTGCTATCTTTAATAGAGACCTCCTAGATGGGGTCGGAGTAGGTGGGGTCGGAGGGTCTCGCCGCATCTCCGGTACATCGGCGATGCATCCGTGATGCATCGGCAAGGTATCGGCGATGCGCTGGCGACGTAGGCGATGCATCGGCGACGTGGGCGTGAAGCACATCGGGCTCCACATCAAGCCGCATCGCCGATGCGGCGCCGATGCGGCGCGATCCTCCGACCACATCTACTCCGACAACATCCGGGAGGCCTAGATTAAAACATAACTCCCGTTCGACGGGCTTCTACAAAATCCCAAGTTGGCCACAGAACTTGGAGGCGGCCGGGGGGTCTGCACTGGATGGGGCTCCAAAATATCGATCGAGAAGGGGGGGACGAGGCCAACTCCCGTCAAAATCGGTCACCAGCCCCTCCCAGGGAACCCCTCCCGGGGTCCATCTGGTGCAATTTTTCACCACGGTCCCGTTGTTGACATGGGGCCCGAAACCTGCCACCCGTTTCAGAAAAAAACAAGCCCCTCCAAATTACCTGCTCGCCGGTTCGGTGGCAACTCATGGGGGCCTCCCACACCATCTTGTTGGCTCCTGCGAGATCGACGCTCGTCGACGTTAAATCGACGCTACTGGACGCTCAATTGACGCCAACCAAAGCAAAATCGGCGCCATCCCATCGACTCCCAGACGCTCATGAACGCCAATCGACGCCCAAACCAGGACGCTCATGGACGCCAATGTACGCCAATCGACGCCAATCCCAGACGCTCATGGACGCTCATGGACGCCAATCGCAAATTACGAGACAATACAAGGTTCCCCTGAGTTGCGACCGAACGGAACCAATGCTGGATCACCTCAGACCCCCCGCCGGCTCCGACACAGAACATCCCCGAGGCGCCGGTCGGGAGCGGAGGGCCTCCGCTGCCGCGGCGGCAGCCTGTGCCTCCTCCTGGGGCGGCTCGGCTTCCGCGGGCCGCTCCGCGCCGCCGCCAGCCGCGGCGCCCTCGGCAGCGACCGATCGACGAACGACCGACCGACGACGGCGGCGACCGAACGACGACCCTGAGATCCTAGCGTTGCACGTTGTTTACGACGGGCGTGTTCACCAAGTTTCGGGCCCCGGGAGCCTCACAACAGGTCGATCCAGCTCGAAAAATGGTGCAGCAAGACGGGGCTCTGGTCGTTTCAACTGTGTCGCTACATCGGATGTCAAGGGACGGAGAGGCGACCACGACGGGGACGACCGACCGACCGACCGACCGACCAACCGACAACCGACCGACCCGACGGCCGACCGACGACGGCGGGCGGCAGCCGACCGATGATGAGAAGCGCGCGGGTAGTAACCAGGCTCGAACTTATCTCTAGCCCCAAGATGGGCAAGCTCAAAGCGACGACAATTTTAGGAATGAGCTCTCAGGAACTGAGGGGCCCCACAAGATCGGCATCCAAACGTAGGGATAAGGACACGCTTCCAGCTGACGGATCCTCAGAACACGAGGGCATCCCCAAGATCGAGGTAAGGAAGATGATGCCACACATAGGGGTCGGGAGATGCCCCACCCTGCGGCATCCTCAGAAACTGAAGAGATCCTTCTAGACCGAAAGGAATACATGCCAAACATTGGCGAACAGGGATGCGGACCGGTCTCAAGCCGGCACGGCGGGCCTGCGGAGGCGCAGGCGTGACTGGCTCCTCCGCCTCCGCCGGCGCCTGGGCCGCCGCAGGCGGCGCGCCCCGCTCGCCCGCCGCCCCGGCGGCCGCGCCCTCCGCCGCGGCCTGCGCCGGCGGCTGGGCAGGCGCAGCTAGGCGGTGCGCCCGGGGCGGAAGTGGTCCTTCTCTTCGCCCCCTCGTGGGCCGCCCCTGTAGGCGATCCCTTACTCGAACAAGATGGGGGGAAGAGGGAAGAGAAAAAAGGAGGAGGAGGAGGAAGAGGAGGAGGAGGGCAAGGAGGAGGAGGAAGAGGAAGAGGAAGAGGAGGAGGAGGAAGAGGAGGAGGAGGAAGAGGAGAGCAGGAGAGGAGGGAGAACACGGGAGGACGCCACCACCACCCGCCCAAAGTGTGAGAAGGCGGGCCTTCCCAGAAGGTTCGGGAGTCCTCGGGCCCTCAGAGGCATGCTCCGAGCCTTCGCTGAGGACAGAGGACACTTACTTAAGAAAGTCTGGCGGTTTTTGAGACGCCCCGCTTGCTGAGAAGGCCTGCTCCTTTTCGCTTCCCCCCGTCGCTGGCCGCCGGACAGCGGGAGGGGAGCCGTGGGCGGAAATGGCGGGCAAAAACATAATCGGGCCGCTGGCATAAGAAACGATGGATGGGGAACGACGCCCCCATTCCGTCCAGGCTGAATCGCGAAATCCGGAAAAACGGCCGGAACAATCCGAAGGAACACTGGCGAGGCTCGCCACCCAAACAGCGAAGGAGCGCACGCAAACCAAAGGAACCACCGAGCCACTTTTCGACCTCGAACTGCAGCTTATGTCAACGAGCTGACTGTACGGCCAAGGTAAAATAGGCCACGAACTGCCATGTGGCAGAAACACAACACAAACATAATGTCAGCTTGTGATTGTAAAATCAATGGGGTGGGGGCGCGTTTTTTGGCTTTGTATTATTATTATTACTATTATTATTATGCATACATACATACTCACTCACTCACCAAAATGTCCAAAGGTCCAAACATCAGGTATTAGTTGAAATACGCTGAGACCCTAGACGGTGCTCGCCACTTTGGCGTCTCCTTTAGGCACCGCGCAGCTCATGACTGTGAGCAGTGCGGCACGGAAGCGGCGCACACACAGACCAGCTCACCGAGGGTGGCGACCCCGACCCCGAGCTTTCCCCTGGGGCCCTCGGCTTCGCCCCCCTCCCCTAGCGGTGAGTAGGTTGGTGCGCGCTTCTGGGGGGGAGCGAGAGGGGTGAGAGGGCGGCATGGGGGCACGAGCAGAGGAAGTACGAGCGGGCGCAGGAGTAGGGGGTCTACTCGCGGGAGTCTGAGACCTGGGACCCCGATCATCTAAAACAGCTGGCCTTTTCCTCTCGAGCCTATCTCGAGCAGGAGGTGTGGAGCTGGAGCGGGTGGCGTCAGCCTCAGAAGTCGAAGTAGCTGCACTCTGTGCCGTGGGAGGTGGTGGTGTACAGGTCGGCGGTCGTGCAATCCTCGTGTCCAAGCCACTGCATGCACCAGCTTGGGAATTCCCACTGAGAGCAAATCGAACCATAGCGTCGGAAGAGGCACTCGCAAACGGCAGTCGGGGGAGCACTTCTTCATGGGTGGAAGTCGCTTTGAGGCGCCGTATTGAGTAGCCGTCAATTTCCAGATCAGGGTCGTTTGTCATACTGGTAGTCCTCACGCCTCGTCGTTCATCAACGCGTCCATGTAGAGAGCCAGCTCGTCCTCCACGAAGCCCGCTGGGGCTGGTCCGAGACAGGCTGGCTTGTTCGCATTGTTGAGAGCGGCCATGATCTTCTGGCGGATGCTGGGGTCGCGGCAAGTGAACATGACCTTCGCCGAGCCGCTCTTGTACGCTTTCTCGACCCTGCAGATCGGGAACATGTCCTGGGCCTGGAACGCATCCAGCTCGCTGATCTGCTGGAGCGCCGTAGTGAGCTCCTCCTTGCACTTCGCACCGATGTCCTGGCTGGCGAGAGTCTCGATCATCGCCATAGCTGCGCCTGGGGCAGGGGGGCCCTTTCCGTGATTGTCGCCTTCTTGGCGGATCATGCGTGCGTAGTTGCGGTTCTCCAACTCGATGGCCTCGACCAAGGGATCCTTGTCTTCCACTTTCACTGTCGTGACGATGCAGCCCTTGAGCTCGCGAACCTGCTTCGTGTTCTGGTACGTCGCACGGAGGATGATGAGAAGCAGGTCTTTCATCTCCTGGGACATCGTCGGCGCCTGCTTCGACTTGAAGCCTGCTCCTCGGCGGCGCCGAACTCGAGCGAGGGTCACCTTCCTGGGGTCGAACTTCGGGTCCTCGTCCATTGCTCCGTCCTGACCCTTGCGTGGCTGGCTCCGTGAGCGTTCTGGCCTTCCGCGCGCTCCACCATTCCCAGACGCTGCTGAGGACTCCATGGGGGCACGCCAACCCGCTCGAGCTGGTGTCGGGACGCTCGCCGTGCCTGGTGCCATCGTCGATGTCTGGCTGCGGTGCTGGTGTAGGCGTTGGCGTAGGCTGTGGCAGTGAGAGCGTATGAGTCTCCAGTGCTCCCTGAGGTAGATGGCTACGGAGATGTGCGCGCATCGTGCTGTAATCTTCGAAGGACTGGTAGCATACTGGGCATGTTAGTGTCTTCGGGGACGTGATAGGATATGGTGCCCATGTCTGATCCGTGCGACATATGTGTGATTTCCATGCCGCTGTGATATGATGTTGTGCTCCCACACGTGTAGGGAATGTAGTACCGCATATGATACACTCGTTCGTGATCGTGAGCTGTGATAATAAGCAGCACATACCATGTTCTCCCCCTGGTGCGAGTCCCCGCTGGTGTGCATATAGTGCTCGTGCGCTCATCCACTTGGACATGCATGCGATACCCTCGGACGTTTTCAGCGTGCAGATGAACAGTTCGGCCTCGTCTGACGGGGCCACTTCTGAGGGGGGCTCTGCAAGAGCTCCAGGAGGCGCAAAGGCGCGCCGAAGGTAAGCTGCCCTCATCATGCTCACGTCGACGCCACAGAAAGCTTCTGCTACGTCGGGCTCTGTAAACAACTCCACCATGTTGCCTCGCCAGTCCAGGTATTCCAGAGGCTCGGCGATGTCCAGGACCAGCATGTCCTGTATATCCGTGGAAAACTGTCGAGCGATGAGGTGCGCGTCGGGGTTGATGTAGCCGTCATCGTCTAACGTGCGTGGTGCCACGGGCAATTCGAGTTCACGTAGGTGATGCTCAATCTGGAGTTCACCGAACAGGACCGAGACCATCTGTTTGGAGTCGTCGGGGTGTGCTGCGGCGCCCTGAAGAAGTTTAAGACGTCGCACTTTCAGCTCGATTGAACTCGGTGCAATCTCCCATCGTCGCCAGACCTCAGCTGCCGATATCGACTTGTAGCGGTCCTGGGTGCGGATACAGCCTTTGCCCTTCAGCATAGCACGAAGTTTCTTGCCCAGGGTAGTGTCCAGTTTTTTGTAGTCGGTCGTGTGCAGGTAGTAAGTCCCGGCGCCACTGATCGCTGCCTCGTAGACCACTGCCTGAAAAACCAATCTTTTTAGTCGTCTCGGAGCACGACTGAACCAGAAGTGATGATACTGACTCCATCCAGAATTAGCAGCTCGTAGGCGTGCATCTCTTTCTGCGCCGAAGGTGTCCTTTCCGTCAAACATGCCTCCCACGTGCTTCATGGCGGTGAGCTTGCGGCAGTTGATTCGGTTGTCGTCGAAGAATGCTCGGTGTTGTAACTTAGAGGGGATGCTGTGAACGATTTCCTCCTTAGGTTCATTCAGTCCAAATCCGCCAGTCCGAAGATGTCGCCGTAGTGAGTCCAGGTCGCGCTCGATGATCATGGCCAGCGCGTCGTTCACAGTGGTGGTCGCGTCGTGAAGGTTGCCCTGTGCGTCCATGGCCTGCTTCTTGGTGCCGACCCTGATGGCGATGTGAAACTTCAAAATGTCGTCCACGAAAACCTGCCGAGACGCATCCTGCACTGGTCCGTCTGGGTCCCACTTTGGTGCGCATGATTGTAACATCAGGTTGGAAATCGTGGCCTTGGTATCTTCACGCCATTCCTCCAGCTTCGCGTTGTACACCTTCATGAAGGCGTCGGGTTCGTTGGAGCATCCCATCAGTCCTCCTTCCCTGTTGCGCATCAGGAGCGTGCCGTCGCTCGCGTCGACGATGGTCTGGGACTCGCTCCTGCGCTGCTGCACGAGTTGCCGATCGCCTGCTCGGAATGCTGGAAGAACGTGTTCTGTGATCGCGGCGTGCTGTGTACACCCGAAGGCATTCCGTCCATCGTGAGAGCGAACTGCGAAGGCAACTTTTGCTTTGCGCAACTTGCTAGCCATCACTCGAGTCACGATCATGCCATATTCTCGCCGTCTGTGTGCAATACCTCCATAGGCGTAGTCAGGCGGTGGAGAAGGGAAGCCTCGTTCGCGTAGATATCTGAAAAAAACATCTCCAGAAGACGTCGAAGCAATGTATGAGTCGAAGTCCACTTGGCCCAGGGAGCATCTTGCCTTTGTCTAACTGAAAGCTGCGTGAAGTGTTGGCCTGCATCGGTACACGGTCATGTTGTCGTACGTGGGCCAGAGCTGCGAGTAGGCGTGATTGTCCGAGTCGATACTGTTGAGACAGCTGGAGCTTTCGCCGAGAGGGGTCTTCATCTGCGACGGGTGCGTTGGAAGCACCGATCCCCCCTCGAGCTCTTCCTGGTCGTCGTAGTACTTCAGGTTGGAGTACCATGAGTAATACTTCTGCTGGGACCGCGAAAGGAGGCGCATATTTCCGTCTTTTTGCCTTGCCCAAGAGTTTCGTGACTGCTGCCAGCTCGTCGACGGCCTCGGTGATGAAGTTGAGCTGGAGGCCCTGGTTTGCCGATCTGGGCGCGGGCGTGATACTCGAAGTCGAAGTAGCTGCACTCGGTGCCGTAGGAGGTGGTGTGCTCGGCATAGGCGTAGGTGGGCCCATTTCGAAAGGCATGTCGGGCTCGTCTTGGTTCATCATATCATCGAACGAGGCCTCTGCTTCATCCGTGCCTTGATTGTAGGGCCGTGGTGGACCCAAGGCGGGCGTGGTCCCAAGAGGGGCGCATCGCCTCCGTGAGTGGGCCTCCTGG